GTTCAGAAGGATTAGGGTGGGGGTCAGACTCAGGTGCTTCTCCCTCCTGCATGGCCTCCTTTTCAGCTGCACGGGTTCCGCCTATCTACAAGAGCGACCCTCTGGCTTTGGGTCAGTATTCGGGTTCCCAAGGCCTTAGCTGCCCTTCTTGTCTTTCTACACTGTCTGGGAGTGGAGAACAAATCTGGGGATATTTCAGAGAAGATTGGGGGTTGATAGTCTGTTGTGGATGCCTCATCAATTTTAGGGTCCCCATCTTTCTCCAATCCCCCTACTGGGAGTAAGTTTCCAAACCCTGGGAAATCCCTCCCTATGAGCACCGGGTATGGGAGTTTAGGGACTACACCTGCTGCTACCTCAGTAGTGTTCCCTTGGATCTCGATTTTTACTGGGATGGTGGGGTAGTAACTAACTGTCCCATGGACACATGTTATCCCCGTACGTTTAACCTGCAGCAGCTGACTACGCTTCACGAGCTTCCCTGAGATAAGCATGATAGCACTCCCCGAATCAACCAGTGCTGTGGTCCTACCCCGTTTAGTTTCACTGGTCTGGTGTACATATGTGGGGTTAGTGAGACCCCCACAAGGTGGATTAGGGAGCATGGATCTGCCCAGTTCCCCAGGTTACACTGCACAGGCTCCTCAGCATTGGGACACTGTGCAGCTATGTGTCCCCACTCCCCGCAGGCATAACATCTGTATGGAGCCCTAGGTGTTCCCCGGTCTCTTGGTTTGGGCAGTCTAACATCACGATCCTCTTCTCCCTCAGTGCTCCGACTCTTTGTGGCCTCTGATGGGCCTTCAGCCTCTCTCTTTTTCCACCTGGTCCCTCCTGGTGGCCCAGTCACCCGAACTTTAGGGCTTGGTGCTGCTAGTTTAACCCGGGGTGCCTCTTCCTTAACTGGTCGGGTCAGCTCCCTCGCTGTCCTTCGCCTCTCTACCAGGGCAACAACCTCGTCATAGGTGGAGGGTTCGTTCTGGCTTACCCAGGCACGAAGGTCTGGTGGTAGTCCCCTCATGTATCGGTTGATGACCAGAACCGCTAGAATCTCTTCCGGACTCCGGGACTCTGTTTGCAACCACTTTCGTGCGAGATGGATGAGGTCATACAATTGGAATCGCGGGGTTTTGTCTTCCTGGTACCTCCAACTGTGATACTGCTGGGCCTGCACTGCTGTCATTACCCCAGATCTGGCCAGGATCTCTGCTTTCAGCTGGGGGTAGTCTGCCGCAGCCTCTTCAGGCAGATCATGGTAGGCCTTCCAGGCCTCCCCACACAGGAATGGGGCAAGGATGCCAGACCACTGATCTCGAGGCCAGGCCTCCCGTAGGGCTGTCCTCTCAAAGGCCAGAAGGTATGCCTCTACATCATCCTCCAGTGTCATTTTCTGCAGCCAATGGCTGGCCCGTATGAGCCACATCCCATCATGGCCACGATTCAGCTCTGTAAGGGACTTTACCTGGTTTACCAGTTCCCGCAACATAGCTCGGTCTTGAGCAGCCTGGTCCATCAGCAGGCGATTAGTCTCTTGCTGCAGCCGCACTGCCTCCTGTTGGGCGGCTGCCTGGACACGGGTAGCCACCTGCTGGGCCGCCGTAGCATGTATCAGTGCCCACACTACATCATCCATTGTGGTAGAAAAAAAAAATAAACCCTCTCCTTTTTTTTGTTGTTTTTTTTGGTTTTGTTTTTATTTTAAATCACGCTCCTTCTTCCGCCACGCTGTGCGCCCCAAGATCCCACCGCTGACACCAGTTTGACAAAGTTCGTCCTCTATCTTGGTGGGTCCTGTGCTTATTGGGGGATTTTCTTGCCTCAGAGATTCACCATGTGGGTTGGGGAACAGCCCAGAGACCTTCCTCTCTGGAAGAACCCACAGTCCAGGTCAATTGGAAGGTTTGGGGGGGAACCCGGGCCCACCCTCTACTCCGGGTTCCAGCCCAGGGCCCTGTGGACTGCAGCTGTCTATAGTGCCTCATGTAACAGCTGCACAACAGCTACAACTCCCTGGGCTACTTCCCCATGGCCTCCTCCAAACACCTTCCTTATTCTCACCACAGGACCTTCCTCCTGGTGTCTGATAACGCTTGTGCTCCTCGGTCCTCCAGCAGCATACCCTCTCAGTTCCTTGCACCTCTTGCTCCCAGCTCCTCACACTCACACCACAAACTGAAGTGAGCTCCTTTTTAAAGCCCAGGTGCCCTGATTTGCCTGCCTTAATTGATTCTAGCAGTTTCTTCTTAATTGGCTCCAGGTGCCCTAATTAGCCTGCCTACCTTAACTGGTTCTAGCAGGTTCCTGATTACTCTAGTGCAGCCCCTGCTCTGGTCACTCAGGGAACAGAAAACTTCTCAACTAGTGACCAGTATATTTGCCCTCTACCAGACTCCTGTACCCCACTGGTCTGGGTCTGTCACACTGTGTATGGTTGTTAAGGGTGATAACACCCAAAAGTTGGGTCCTTTGGTTGGAAATAAGTCAGAAATTCCCAATATCAGTGCCACTGTAACTGTGATGTCTCAAATTGGTTGTTTAAGACCCTTTGGCTCAATTCTCTAACATCTGCTGCTTCAAACTCATTGTGGAACAAATCCTGCAGTCTTTACTCAGGCAAAATTCTTATTGCACTCACTATTGGGTTTGGCCCGTTGGAGGATTTTTGGCCCAATACTGCCACCCTTACTGGCATTGATTAGTGACCTAATCTGCAACTAGCTCTAATCAATTACAAATTAAGTATAAAGCCTGCAGGATTTGACCCTATGCCTAAAACAGGTGTTTTGGAGACTTTTATTTTTCTTATATTAAAGATTACTCAGGCATTGAGTCTTTCCTTTCAGAGGTCAAGTACCAAAACAGATTTCTGATCCTTTTAACTTTATTGGCAATTTGTAGGTCAGATTCTAATCTCATGCTGGTATAAATCAGCAGTAAATCCATTGAAGTCAATAAAATTACACGGGTGTAAAACTGGTGTAAGTGATATCAGAATTGACCCTCTGAATTTGCATTAGGGAATTTCTGTTGCTACATCAACTACCTTTACCCTCGGTTCAGGCATTCTTTCTTACTGCAGGAGAGGCAAACAAAAATGAAAATGTTTTAAAAGGCTCTGGAATTTTAGTATAAATGTCCAGCTCTACTGAATTTGATAAAAATACTTTGAAGTGGTAAATGCAGTTTTCTAGAGCTGGTTGAAAATTTTCCAACCAAACAGTTTTCTGTTGGAAAATGCTGATGAGATGAAATTGAAAAATGTTGTGGAAATTATCAAAATGTCTAGATAAGGTTGAAACATAGTGTTTTGATAAAATGGAAACGTTTGTCTTTTAGGTTATTAAATTATAATATATAATACAATATAAAAAATTAAATGAGAAAGTTGAAACAGAACATTTTGCCCTTATCAAAACAAAATATTTTTGGAATATCTCATTTTGTGAAAAATTCACAGATTTTGCCCTTTCATCCCAAATTGGGACAAAAACATATTTTGAAAGCTCAGAATCTCCCACGGAACAGAAATTCCAAATTTCAATCCACTCTACTTTACCAACCTATCTGTAAGGCCCAGGATGATTAATATAATCAATATGTTAAGTGACAGTAATTCTTTCATCGGAAACTAACTTTCTAATTCTGTGTCTTTTAAAAACTGCCAGACACATGGCATTATCAAAAATGGGGAAATGTGGGGGCACATTTCTAAAGAGCACTTTGTTTAAAACAACAGGGCCATTTTTTTTAAAATACCTTGCCATACATGGTCTTGTAGTTCTGTTTTACTTGTTGCCTCTGGTCTGATGATCGATTTGATAGGATTTCAATAATTGCCGTTTCATCTGTTCCTAAAAAATATTAATGTAGAAGAGGAAATCATTCAGAAACTGCCCGCAGATTTCATTTTTGCTGGGAGAGGAAAAGATGATCAAGTACTCTCCCTTCTAATTAGTAGAAAATTAGTTTCAGACCATCAGTTGGTGTCAATGATAGCTTTTCTAGCATGTACCATTTAAAAAACGTTACTTTTAGTCTGCAGCCAGAACATAAAAAGAAAGTGCACCCAAACCAATGCCACTTAAAGCTAAGAAATCATTAGGGAACTAAATCTCATGTTTCAAGGAATAAGCTCAGCAGGGATCAGGAAGAAATTCCATCCTGTGTAGCACTGAACAACTAGCCAGGTGTATTATTTGTTAGGGTTCGGAAGTTGGCCTCCTTTGAAGGATCAGATACTGACTACCTTTGGCAGCAGAACACAAGTGTGCCAATAGTCTGACCCAGTAGGGCACGTCCCATGGGAAGGTAACCTATTGAAGACAATTGCAAAACACTCACTGTCTTCAGCAGGAGCACGAACTGGAGTATAACGATGTTGATTCTTGCTGTCTTAGTTACTTTGATCACAGATGGCTATGACATACCAATGTACAGTCCAGATCAGTAGGGGGCTGTGTCACCCTTGTCCTGCAACTTTGGGTGTCTTACAATGCCTTGCTGAAGTAGCTCCCACCTGAGCCAGTCACAAACTGCCTTCCAGCATGAAAGCCACACCCTGAGTATGAACTGCATCCTGCCAGTCACACCTGGGTTACAGTCTGGCTCTCACCAGGCTTGGTTATACTGCAGGGTGACCCTAACAAATCCCCAGGTCTGGATTTCCCCCATAGAAATATGTCCTGTACTGCCCACCCCGGCGCTCTCCTGGACAATGCAAATATTTTAAGTTCATTATTTCTTTAAGGGAATAATATGCAGGCTTATTATCTCAAGTAGTTATTCAGACACTTCAATTTAAACACACTGGATTAGATGAAACAGTAAAACAAGTTTATTTACTACAAAGAGAGAGATTTCAAGTGAGTATAAGTAATGAGGCATAAAAGTCAGAAATGGTGAAATGGTTACAAGAAAAATAAAGATAAAAGACTTACTAATGCCTAACAAACTATATCAGATTCAAGCAAAGTTTCTCACCACGTGCTTTCAGCAGTCTTACTGACCAAGCACTGTGGGTTAGGACCCCTCCCCCAGAGTCCAATGACTGCTTCCGTTGTCTCTTTAGGTGCAGTGAATGTGATAAGCAGGGTGAGAGAGGGGTTTTCCTTGGAGTGTTTATCCCTCCTTTTTATAGTTTCAGTTCCCCTCTTGAAAAACATTTCCAGCTGGGCACTAGGAGACAAAGAGTCTATGTGGAAGGATGTTCACTGCTGTTTTTTTCTCACTGGTTTGAGCTTTCTTTTTTCCCTCCCTGCTTGATGACTCTGTTTACTGCTTACATGAAAATTAAGCGAAGCACACATTCCTTTGCTAGGACAGACCTGTTTGCCAACTTCTGTTTGGGCAGGGCTGTGAGGCTTGGACCTTGTATTAATAACCTACCAGACAGGGGAATTTTATAACTTCACATACTGTGTAGCCACACGTTTTATCAGGACGATACTGACCAGAAAATTCTGAGTGTTTAAATCAATGGTTCCCAACCTTTTCTCTGCCACTGCATACCATGATACGTTTAATTATTTTGAGACACATCACCATATATCCAAATGAACTTGCCTTCTTATCTCCTCGGTTTAAGCTGCTTACCACCCTTACCATTCACAGTCCGCAGAAGCTGTGTGCCGGCAGGGGTGTAGCTCAAGGTGCAGGGGGGCTGTGTCTGAGGGGGTGCTGCTGATGCAGGGCCCAGCCATGCGCTCAGTCCTTTGTTGGCGCAGTGGGGACAGCTCCACTCCTTGTGTCCATGAGGATGCCAGCCAAGGCTATGCCGACCTACACAGTCACCATGGCCACTGGCACCCACTGGTTAACAGGCACTGAGGATGACATATCTATGGCTACGTCTTCACTACGGGGGGGGGGGGAGTCGATTTAAGATACGCAAATTCAGCTACACGAATAGCGTAGCTGAATTCGACGTATCTGAGCCGACTTACCCCGCTGTGAGGACGGCGGCAAATCGACCTCTGCGGCTCCCCCGTCGACGGCGCTTACTCCTACCTGCGCTGGTGAAGTACAAGCGTCGATTCGGGGATCGATTGTTGCGTCCCGACAAGACGCTATAATTCGATCCCTGAGAGATCGATTTCTACCCGCCGATTCAGGCGGGTAGTGAAGACGTAGCCTGAGCCTGAAGGGTGCGGTGGCCATTACCCAGCCCACATGGGGAAACTGATCGGGATGCACAGAACACCTGGTGTCGCCACTCACTCCCGCCGCCTGAATGTTCCTCCATGCCCCCCTAAGGGGCCCTGGCCAGCCTGGGCTTGGGGCGGGAGCAGGACCAAATGGAAGGCAGAAATCTGCCACCCCCATGCATTGCCTCTGCGATGTTTCCAGTTTGGGGAGCAATGCCCCCCAGGCCCTCCCATCTCCACCCATTCAGGTGGGCAGGTGCTTCCCTGCCCTCCCTAAATGGCACCCCTGCCGCATCAATTCTGTCCTCACGCTCCACCAGTTCAGCCCCCACCTCATCCCAATTTTGCCCCACCCAGCCCCCACCAGTTCTGCCTCCCCAGCTCCCCCACCTCACACCACACCCCCACCTCTCAATTCAGCCCCCCCCCGCTTCTCCTGGGGGGCTGCAGCAGGGTCCCTGTCCAGGCTTCCCACCCCCAGTTGGCGGTTGCAGGAGGGAGGGCGAGGGGCAGAGAAGCCAATCCGTTGCTCACAGGAGGAGTGTGGGGAGGAGAGGGAGATTGAGCTCTGATGGGTTTCTCTGCCCCTGGAGGAGGCGGGGCAGTGAGGCAGTCGGCCAATCAGAAGGTGACTTCCTCCCCCCTTGCTTCCCCCTACTCCGCCCCCACTCTGTATGTAGTTTTTCAAAAGATTCCACGGGACAGCTGTTTGGGCCTGACAGCTCCCCAGTGTGCTACAGCATACCGGTTGGGAAACACTGGTGTAAATGATACCTCACAAGGCGTACTTGGTACAAAGATTATTACAATAATGTGTAGGGTGTGAACGCAGCGGTATATTCCATCGCAATGGCCAAAGTCAGACCTCAGGCCACCTATTGCCTAGCACAACGTGGATTCTGTCACTGAAATTCTTTATGTGTGACTCCCTGTATGGGAACTGGGCCACAGTGTAGTGTCCACACTGACAATCCCCTGGCTCCTGTTGTTAGTGTACAATGTTAGGGGCAGAGACAAGGAGAGGCAAACGCAGTGCAAAGCGGTGGTAACGGTGAAGTATTTCACTCCAGACGGGAATGAGGGGAGAGAGTTACAATGTGTGGGAGAAGGAAAGAGCCAGCAGCCTAATGTGTTGATGGGAGAGACAAACAGCTGTGGGTCAGTGTCTGAGGTCTTATTTCTCATTTGCACTAGGCCCCTTTATACTGCCAGAGTGGCACAAAGAGGCCAAAGTGTCAGTGAGAATCCAGCCACCCATGTGTAATCGCTGTGCAGCCCATCTGTCAGAAAGATTTGCCTGTACCGATGACATTGTCTTAGAGGAGCTAAAAGGATCTCCTGAGGCAGCTTGATGACAGGAATGACCTTAAAGATTTAACTCCGCCATCCTGGATGTTAGCTCTAATGATGTAACTGGAGAGGTAACATGCTAACTCCTGACAATTTCCAGCCATGTGGCCTGCCTGTTTAATGCACATCTGTATCCTAAATATCAAGTGGGAAACCAAAATTCTTGACCCCGATGTAGACGCTGAATAGATATGTCAGTATAGGACATGTGTATATCCCCTATTTTCAGCTATTCCTTGTAGAAAATCTGAACACCAGGCTAGATCTGGGGATAGACTTTTTGGTGCTTGGTGCCACTGCAACCTGGAAGTGTGGGAGTGTGCTTTTAATGGGGCACTTCCCAGTGAAGCTGTCATGGCTGGGGGGTTGGCCAGGCAAGAGCAGCCCCTAATATTCAGGTCTCCTAGGTAGCTGCCTTCGTAACCTACCCCTAATGCCAGTGCTGAACAATGAGAGTTCACTATTCTTGTTATTGTTACTGACAGCTTGGCCAGTCAGTTGCAGTGTATAAATGCCATGTTCTTTCTGCTCCGTTGGGGTTAAGTCATGAAGTTAACACACCAGGAATAATGGGCATAGTGAAGGCCCAATTCTATGAGGTGCCAAGTGCCCTTAGCTCCTGTAGACTTCAGTGGAAGTGAGGGGTGTTCAGCACCTTGTAGGAGGTGCTCAGGATCTTCCAGGATTGGACCGTTACTGTAATGAGGTTAGGACACTTGTGGGGTAAATATGTATTGATTAGCCAGTGATTTTACTCTTCATCAATATTAGATCCACAAGCACGTTGGGGTGTAATAATGATTCATATGTAGCTAATGATTATTAAGATTATTTCCCCCCAAGCTAATATATATCATACTGTGAGGGTATCTGTATCTATCTATGCACACACAGAGCAGTTGTACTTTGGAGTTAATAAGTGAGTTCGATAGCTGACAGAAAACAGAAAGGTTAACTCAAAACTGATCAAGCAGTTGTTTTGCCGCAAGTGCGCGCTTGGACATACAACTTCTACAATGCAGAACTGTTCCATTGGTACCAACACAGCTAAACAGCATGTTAAAAACAATAGCATTCTTACCCATCCCTTTGCAAGCTTTTTGTAGTTTCTTGGCATCCCGTTCTGCATCGAAATCATGATGGCGCCGAATGGTTGGCTAGAAAAACAGAGGCAACAGTAAGTGGAAAATAATACTACTGTGAATCCTCTGAATTATACTACATGGAATTTGGGCTAGGTTGGGTCAGATTGCCATCTGATCTTTATTCACAAATATCCCAACTCTGATGTCCTTATTTAGTTTTTACTCACTCCTTACTCAGGAAAAACTCTTATTGACTGACTTAGGTGTGTTGATCTATAAGTAGATTATAAAAACCTTACTCACACTGGTAAGCATTTACTCAAACAAATAGTTCCATTCAAGTCAAAGGGACTAAATGATCGCCAGCATGAGAGAGGATTGCATGAACTAGCCCTGAGTGAATACTTCAGGATTTGCCCCACTATATAATAGAAAATAAATTCAGCCTTTCAAATACTAGTACTTTTATGGATAAGCTGGTCTCCGGCCAAAGTAAAACATGGGGGCTTGATCTTGTAACCATTACTCATGCAGGCAGTCTTTTTCATGCAAGTAATGTTATTGATTTCAATGGCACTAGTCACACGAGTAAAGAATACTTGAATAAGAAAGAGTTATAGCTTCAAGCTGTTAATTTGCTCTTTATGACAGTTAAAGTGTAGGAGCTGATCAATATCGCCCAACTGCAGCACCATCCTCCAAATGACAATGGGTAAAATTTGCAAAAGCACCTTCGTGACTTAGGAGCTGAAGTCCCATGGAAACTCAGTGCGATTTAGACTCCTAAGTGCTTAAGTCACTTTTGAAAATGAGACATCAGTCCTAAGTCACTTAGTTGTTTTTGAAAATTTTACCTGTTGTGTCTAATAGATTATAGTCATTGTCACATTCTTGTCCAAAGTATCGGTGTTGTCTCCACTGATCCCTTTGGTTGCTTTGGCACACACGTAGGTGCAAGAAGCATCTTTTAGTATTATTCTTTTTCACAATGGTCATGCTTAAAGATTGCTAGTTCTGATGAAAAGATTGGCAGTCCAGGATAATGAAGTGTTCTGTCCAAAGAACAGGTGTGTCATAGCAGAATAAATCTCCCTACACTACCAATCTACCTCAATGCTTTACTAAAGGAATCAGCTCTGGCCATTCAGTCCTTGGTGCCCCTAATAAGATCACCCAAAATTATTTCAATTAGTGCTAATTGTGACTTTTACATTGCTTATATTTTGGTCAAATTATCCTAATTTTTGGCTACCCTTATGAAAATAGGCATTTATAACACACTATAACAATGTAACATTTCCTTCTCTAAGTCTTCTTTCCTTGCTTTAGGATCACACGGTAATAAGACTTTCACCACCAGACCATTATCCTAAATCTTGATTGTAAAGTTACATGTTGTTATACAGTATGAACAGATAGTAAATCAAGTCCAGTAACTAGGGAGTTACTTGACTAACCCTTTGAATTATTGTAAAAATATACCCATATATATAAATATTAATATTTTCAGTTGTGAGTTTTCATTTAAATTATTCCAATATAGAATTATATCAAAATCTGAAAGAAAATACAGTTATTGTAGCTGAACTGATGGTGTTGTATCCAAATATTTCTACTGTGAAAATATGTTTGTTATTGCTTTGATAGAATTACATACTACAGGCATAAATATTTGAATATGCGCTTGAAAATACAAATTAAATAGTGTCCAGTTTCTTCGTTTCTTACAAACTGTGCAGCATCTAAGTTCTCTCCCTCCAGTTGGTGATTGGAATAATTCTGAGAATAGAATTCACCTTTGTTCTTTCTAACATCAGGTTGTACAGCGGCAGCCTAGCTAGACTGAGTAATGAGCATAGGTTAATGGAATAATGGCAGCTTACAATACAATGAAAGTCTATTCTCAGTATTCCTCTCCATGACGCAAAAGCTGTAGGCGCAATGGATCTATTCATCTAAGCCATAATACGCACACAGTATTGATGCAAGAAGAGTCATATAACTTGTTCAAGTTGTCCTCAGCAAGTAACAGATTCAATGTTCACCATGACTTACGCAGAATTCAATAGGACCCTCAGCTGGTCTTATGATTGAATGCTTTCTGTTGTTTGCCATACAGTGTTTATTTATCACTGGACTCTGTTCTGTATGCCATAAGCTGTCTTGTGTTAAATATTTTCAGAAAGCATTTTGGGACCCAGATTGCATTAAAGATGCTATTAGATAAAAATATTTTGCTGGTAAGGTAGTCTTGAGCCTTTCAATATATTTTTGTAAAATGGTCACCGATAATTTCCACTAGCATTACCTCATTCTGGATGCCTCTTGTTTCAAAGATCCAATAGACCATTAATACTCCATTTCCATAGTTAAATATTAAACTGTCCCAGAGCTACACACTTATGTAAATAAACTGGAGATAGACCAGATGTCTGCAGTGCACCCTTGAACTCCTCAAATTAAAACACAAGCCCTCTCTTTCAAACAGAGTTAGCATTTATATTTCTAGAGATTTTTATATACTTATCTGTCAATTCTCTATGGGCTGAATTCTGAAGTCTGTACTCAGTCCAGACTCAGATAAAATTCCCATTAACATCAGAGGTGCCCAGATATTACAGTGATGGATGTGATATAAGAACCTAGATAAACAAGACTGAGTAATGGCTTCATGATTTGGCCCAACTCCATGATAACAAACTTAACACACAGACTTTATTCCAATACTTTATTCAGTCTATAATTTAAAACTTGACAGTATTATTAGAGTCTACCTTAAGCTAGGTAAGACATTAATAATTCTATCTTGCACTCATAGTACTCCTTTAATTCAGACAGATCCCAATTTATAAACAACAGACCATATGCTCCCTATTCCATTATGCTGCGTGGAACGGAGCAGTTTGTAGTACATTGATGATAAAGAAGAATGGAATAAACAGTGCTGACATTAAACTATCAAAATTATTATATTTAGAATTAACATCTATTGAGATTAATGAGGCAATTCAGACCTCTCTGAGCTATTGTTTCAGGCTTCCTGCAAACTCAGGCAGACATCATGTCATTTGTTACACTTCATGTTTGCAAAATATTTCTTTGCAACCATGAGGAGGAGCAATTTCTTTTAAAAAATCAACAAAGTTTTGATTCTAGAGCACAAAATGCAGCCATCAGGTAGAAGTACTAACTGTTTAAGCAACTGTTCTAATTCAGCCCCTGATCTTGCCTATCTTAAACTATCTATTTTGATTATAAGATCTATGTTTGCAAGGCTTTGTGTAAATGCAAGGCATTTCTAAGTGACCAATAACAATTATTAATAAAATACCACTCACTGATCATAAATAAATTATTAAAAATATATATTTGTCAGATGGTAACTAGGTTCAAGTTAATTCATCTGTTCATCTGATAGATTGTAATGCTCCTATAAGGTTTGTTTCCAGTGTAGTATCCACTTCAGTCTGTGATATCTAGTTGGAATGTTGGAATTAACCACGGCCCTGCACTTTGCAAAGTGAGGGAAAGGAGGGTGCAAAAAAAAATGTTGCCAAGCCTAGGTCTACATTACAGACTTCTGCCGGTGTGTGAGAAGGTGTGATCCCTGACCGCCATAGCTATGGTGGCAGAAGTCCCTAGTGTAGGCACAGTTATATTGGCAAATCTGAACCTTTACTGGAATAGCTGAGCCATTACAAACATTGAATCTATCTCCCCTTGTAAG